CAAAGGTTTTCGGGATTGAGGAATCCAAATCTGAAATCGATTTTTCAAAATTTTGAGCTCCTTTTTTTCACAAAAGCATTTTTCGTAAAAAAATTTTTTTTTAACAAAAAAAAATGTTGATGAAAAAAGAGTAATTTACAAAAATTTTTTGTAGTAAAAAAATTATTTTTCTTGTCAAACAAATTTTTTGTAGGAAAATCAGTTTTTTCGTAAAAAATTTTTGTTGCTAAAAAAGTCATGTGTTTACAAAAAAGTGATCTAAAAAACTTTTTTGTAACAAAAATTAGTTTTTTTTATCACACAAATTTTTGTGGAAAAATTAGTGTTTTTGTAAAAGTTTTTTTCGGAAAATCAATTTTTTTCTTAAAAATAATCATTTTTTTACGAAAAAATACTTTTGTGAAAAATCGAACTCAAAATGCCGAGAAACCGATTTCAGATTCGGATTTCTCGACACGGAAATCTTTCATCAACCTTTATACAAAATCGCTTTTTTTCTTAAAAAAGCTCTTCTTTTGTGGAAAGTCTCTACTTTAACTTTGTTTTTGTTAAAGTTAGAGTTTAAAGTTGAAGCATGCTTCTTGAACTTGAACTTTAACCTTTAAAGGTTATAGTAGTACGTTAACTGTAATTTTGAAGCAAAGTTTAAGGTGCCATCCTTATTCTGGTCTATCCCTCGACCAAACAATAGATAATAATAAGACACACTTGTACATGTCAATAGAAATGATTAAGTGAAGCCCTACTTATTATTCCTCAGAATACTCAAATCCATTTTGATTGTACTAGCAGTTCAACTAAGTTTTTTTTGAATGCAAAACTGGAATTCGGAAATTTAATATTATACATGTTCCGAAATTCGAGAGTTGAGAACGTTTTTGCTGTATTAGTTACCAAGATAAGTCATTGTTAAAATAAGACGACTACCGTTTCATTCTTGATGAGGACAGTCTTTTATGGCTAAAAAAAGTAAAAAGCAATACTTTATCTATGTGTAAACTCCAACCTATCCACGTGGTTTAGGTTTTGCATTGTTAAAAAAGGTATCTTCTTGCCTCATACTGTAGTAAATACGCAGAACAGATGATGTCCATAGTTTAGTAGTTGTTTAAAGGTGATCTCTCACTTTTACATCGAGAGAGAGCGCTTTTAGTCATTGTTTTTGTATTTTTTTTTCTATTATAGGTAAATGCTTCGCTTCAAAGCTTCGGTATTAAAAAAAAACCAAGGCACGTCGACTACAGCGTCGTCAACAACGAGAAATGGTGAATCATTTGTTCGGCGACTATAATACTAGTGGAAGTGATGATGAAAGTAATATTGCAATTGGTGACAATAATCAATCACCTGAATGTGAGTTAAGAAAATTATCACCAAATATTCCCACATGTTTACCATTATTTGAACCAATATATTATCAAAACGATCAGTTTGACGACGTACATCCATTTGATGATCATTTATTAGATATGAATAATGGAACACCATTATTTAATGGCAGTTCCATAACTGTCAACAAAGCCGTACGTGAACTTTGCGATTTCTTCACCGATTTCAATATAAACAAACGTACTGCAGCTCATCTACTTCGTATTATTAAAAGACTTTTACCAAAACCTAATAGACTGCCAACGTCTTGGAAAGCCATCATGAAGGTATTAGGTCATGTATCAAGATCACGAACAACATTTTTATGCTCAGACTGCTTTCAACAATGTCAAAAGGGTCGATATGGTACTAAATTATGCACAAATGAACAATGTCCTTTAAAAAATCGAACAATGAAAAGTACTGAAATAGTCGAACTTGTACATCTAGATATTCGTACACAAATACAAGCTATTTTAGCTAGAAATCAATTATTACTTAATCGAAAAGATTTGTATCCTATGACGGATGTTTGTTTCGGTGAATATTATCAAAATCAATCAAGTACAACAATTAATCGTGTTACTTTAATCGTTCACACGGATGGGGCACCACTCGTTAAATTATCAAAACAAAGTATATGGCCCTATTTTGCCTCACTTGTGGAATTACCTCCACCAGCTCGTGACTATCATAAAAATACCGTTATACTGTCACTATGGACGTCAAAAGTCAAACCTGATCCAAATACATTTTTACATGAAACCATCGAAGAACTTCAACTACTTATTAATAATGGTACATCAATATTTATTAATGGACGAGAATATGAAATTACTTTAAGAACACAATATTTTGTATCTGATCTTCCAGCAAAAGCTCTTTTTTGTAAAACTATCAATTTTAACGGCTATTCAGCCTGTACCCAGTGTTGCAGTAGAGGTAGGTGTAATCATTTAGGAGATTTTTTTATTTTGCGATCTGAAATATTTTAGTTTTATACAATAATATGTTTTTGGGATAACTTTAGGTGTATCATAAGTCATATTATAAAAATCGAAAAGTTCTATAACACATACAAATTAAGGTTTCAATTGGAATCCGATTTAAAGAGTCTTACTTAAAAAAATAGATTAAGGCCAAGCTATTTTACACGACCAGTAAATTTTACGAGTGGATAATTCTAGATTAAGATTGTGTCACATAGATAAGAAATATTGTCTTAGGAGCGATACCCGAATGCAATTTATAGAACTCTGTGATGACCTTGAATATGTAAATACAAACATTGATACATGTAGCAAATAAACCTTAGCGTCTTTGCCTATTTCATGCAAATTAATTTTTGACATAAAAAAATTTCTAGTTTCATATGGCATCTCTAAACGAACATTAGCTATGTTTCGCACACTTTAGAAAATTAGATAACTGATCTGACCACGGTGATCGAACATCTTGTGAAGTTAGGTTATTAGTCCATCCAATGACCATTAGGTCTCTGTCATAATGAACAATAGAATCATACACATCGTTTTAATTACGTTAGAGACGTTTTGTGAACTCTGTTCATGTCATCAGTCAAAAAAATTATAAAAACAGTTACAGAAAATACTAATAAAAATACATGTAACAGAACAAAAAATAATCCAATAAACTTGAACGTTCGAATTACTACTCTGTTTATTGTGCTACACGCTTTTTTATTAGTATTTTTTAGCTTTTTTTATAATTTAGTTTTGATAGATAATATGAAGTGAGTTCATGAAACGTCTCTAACATGATTAAAACGATGTCTATGATTCTTTCATTCATTATGAAATATTTTCACCGATTGATGTTAAAACAAAAGTCTCTTTCAATGTGTGGTACCAAATTGTGACTCGACTTTGAAGTAATCAATAATACCTATCACAGCTGAGTAGTCTTGCGTAACATTGAATTTTGATTTTTTTTTATAGAGAAATTTATTCTTGTTTATACCTAAAAAATCTTCTGTCTTTGTGTTATAGGTGAATGGAGTGCTGAGCACAATATTGTCGTTTATCCATTTATTCGCAACAATTTAACACTTCGTACTCATAGTGCATATCTCGATGCAGCAAAAGAAGCACAAAAAAAGGCAACTAATGGCAAAGTCGTTCCAGTTGAAGGCATCAAAGGCCTTTCTACTTTACTACAAGTCTGAAAAATTCTGATTCATTGCTTAGATTTTTGAACATAAAAGGAAGTTTAATCGTATTGAGATAAATATGACTTGCTACATCATCTGAAAGTTCAGGTTGCCAATGATTTAAGTTGAGTTTCACAATTATAAATGCATAATAAAATGAAAATCATTGAAAGAAGTGAATGTTCAAGTTCTTTTCATTCAGTCCCTACTTTTCGCTTCAAATGAGATTAAAACATTGTTTGTAATGAGGTAATGGGTAAAAGATAATAAACGGAGTACAAATGGATCAATATCTTGTATTTTACATGTTCTTTTGAGTATCATTAGGGTTACACATTCTTACATCAATTTATATGCTGCTAAGTATCGTAACATAACTGTTGGTCTTCAAACAGTTTTGGCGGTGATATTGAGAGACTCATGACAATGACCATACATGATTTTAATGTATTTACATTTAATTTCTTAACTGATGAGAGTTCTAAAACAGTGTCGTAGGAGAGCAAGTACTGTAGGTTCTCTAAATGTTGCCCATGCCATAGTGAAAGTCACATCTTGATACCTTTTCGTGTTTCCGAAGTATTTAAAATTCGAAGAAGTTGAAAAAACCGTCTTGCATGAAAGCCATCAGTATCCAAAGTGTTATATGATATCAAATGGCATTCTTACGATTCATAATGCAACTGTTTTTCTATTATACACTGTAGTTCATAATGTCAAGTATTTATGTGCTTATCTAAGCTCCATCATTACACTAATTGCTGAGAAAGCCTTAAAGTGTTGACATGAAATCGTCTCTGAAATTCTGATAACGAGAAAGAAAATTTGAAAGTTAAAAATAAATTTTATTTGAGATAGTAGTCTTATCTATCTAGTATGACTATATTCGTCAATCCAAACAACTTTCAATTTTCTTTAATAATTCTACTTTTACTTTAGGTCTTCGAATATCCTTGTCAAATTGTATTTGACTACATGCACCTTATATGTCTGGGCCATGTGCCGTGTGTTATCAAACTTTGGTGTCAAAATATTGATGAATCAATTGAACGTTTAATTGATGGCTCACTCGGTCAGCTTCGTCTGCCACACAATCTGAACGTACCTGTTTTGGATTCGATCGTAAACGCCGGACAATGGAAGGCAAAAAACAGTCGTTTATTCGTATTGAATGTTGGAGTACCTATTGTTACGTTACATCTTCCAAGACTTTTGGCATCTCACTTCTTACTTTATTCTATGGCGGTGAAAATTCTTCATGCTCCTGAATCCATCGATGAAATTAATTTGGGCGAACAAATTATGAATTATTACTGTAAAACTGCTCCTCTTGTACATGGTCCATCGGTGGAAATCTTCTCACTTCATGCTCATATTCACCTTGCACAACAAGTGAGACGTCACGGTGGACTTGGACATACATCTGCTTTTGCCTTCGAGTCTTGTATTCGTTTTATTGAGAGAAAAGCTCATGGTAGCAAACATCTTGGAGCACAGATTTCATACTGGATTGATCTTCAAACAATGATGCAAAATGAACCTGTCATTGCTCCAACACTGACAATTAGTAATGTAAATATAATGATTTTCCAGAATTTTTCACTTTTGTAAACAACATTTTACGAAATCAAATGGTTGGATGGTCGTCTCGGTCCGTATCAGGCTGTATTAATTGAACAGATGGCAACTAATTCATTAGAATTTCACTCATGTAGTTTTTACTTACGCCTCAAAGCTTTCTTTGTAACATATCATACAATTATTTATGACCAACCCTTCAAATGTCAAAGTTATATTGTTTCATTTTTTGATTCTGCTCGCAACTTCGTACACTATGGCAATATTGTTGTTTTCGTAAAGAGAGGTTTGCATTTCTTTGCTCTTGTGCAGAAGTATACACTAAGTAAAAAATCTGTGACAGATTATGTCGAGGTTCCACTTTCATTACACTCGAAAGTAAATGAATTGTTTCTATTGTTGCAGCTGTCCGACAAATTTCTTCTTATTCCTGTCGAAAAGATTAAACATAAGTGTGTGAATATTCCATTTGACGGTTTTTGTTGTTTATCGGAAATACGAATCGATTACGAACACGACTAATAACCAATTTCTGAAATATCAATAATTTTTTTATTATTTTTTCTCTTTTATATTATATTTTGTATGTTCTAGATCATCAAGATATCAAGGATTATTAAACTTCAACAAACAACATTTTCTGATTTTCCTGCGAAAATTTAATTTTTATATTGAGCGTTCAACAGTTAGCGATTATCATTATGACGAAAGGTTCAAAGAAAAGCGCGATAAATTTTGCATATATAAACTAAGAAAAAAAAGATTACATTCATAATTACATATGAAAAGATAACACAATTACGACACGACAAGAAAGTGTCATCTAACAATATTACTATATGATTTATTTTCTTGTTATGTTGTAATTGTGTTATCTTTTCATGTTTAATTATAAATGTAATCTTCGTTCTAAATTTATAAATGCAAAATTTATCATGCTTTACTTCGAACATGTCGTCATAATGACAATTAACAACTATTGAACGCTCGATATAAGGTTTAAATTTCCGTGAAAAAGTCACAAAATGTTCTTTGCTAGATTTTAATAATGCTTAGTTATACCTTATTTAGTTGTAAATACATCATTTTCAATTAATATATTCTAGATTTGTATTAAATAGTCATGTGTACAGAGAATACATATTCTAAACATTACTTAAATCGCCGAACAAATGTTGAAGCTGAAGTGTACAAACTTGTTTTATTTCCACCCGACAATTCAATTGCAGTTGTTAAAGCAAAACAATGTTCTCCAGCGGAGCATGATGGTTTTTATTTTGTACAAAGTGGAAGAAAGAAATTCATGGGAGTCATACTTGAAGAAGGTAAACAAGATTTCAAAATGAGATAATTCTTTAAAAAATTGCTGATTTAAACGATACAATAAAATCATTTTATGTGATTACTGTTAACACTAGCCTAGTCAATCATCAATGGTCTTACTACCAGATCATTGTTACAGGTCTTATTTTTACCCCTAAGCAACTTTAAAATTGAAAACATACCTTAAAAATTATAAGCATTGTTTTTTTATAACAGTATATCAGCATCTGTTGTTTAAGATGGCAGAGAGATAATCTTCTTTAATTTACACATCGATTGATTCACTTGTCTTTCTAGGATCTCTGCTGAAATGCAGTGAAGCTGCTGATCAATTAACTAAAAAGACTGTCAATCCAGAAATTGAAAGTGACTGTGAACGAAATATCGATGAAAATCAATTCAAACAATATAATAGTAGGAAAACTATTAGTATTATTTTATTAATCACTTGCGCTCTACTTTCGTATCACAGCAAGCACATCGGCAATATCTACTTTAAAAAGTATTGCATTTGAAGGCAAGCTCCTTGAAGTAAAAGATATTTTTGTATTCATATTTGAATATTTTGTAGAACAAAATTCTAATATTCAACGACATACAGCATCTACGATAACAGTATCTCCTAAATATTCAGGTATATTTGATAGTTGTTATTGATAGATAAAACAAATGTTATTTTTCTCGTAAGTAGATCATGCTAATACTGTTCAACCATCAAGTAAGAATTTATGCAAGTTTTTCTCTCATGAATTTTTTTTAAATATAAAGTGTGCTTTAATGTAGTTGTGAACAATAATGATGATTTTCCAGCTGTACTGTCGTCGACAACAACATTAGGTGAATATTCTACATCAACATCTCACATTGTACACAAATCGAACAAAAAACATGATAAGCGTTTCAAGCACAAACGACGTAAACAATCTCAACATGAAACATCAGTCACGTTATTTGAACCATTTGACAATACCGACAGCGAGTCCAACGACAATGAAGACGAATCATCTGCTAATAGTCG